CTGCTGTTGGTCTGTCCAGCTGCTGCTGCTGCTGCTGCTGCTGCAGGCCCAGGAGACGCCACAGCGTCGTTCGACCGCTCGTTTCAAAATTCTGCTGCTGCTGCTGCTGCTGCTGCTGCTGCTGCTGCTGCTGCTGCTGTTGCTGCTGCTGCTGCTGTAGCCTCTAAGATCCAGCAGCAGCTCACAGGGGCCCCTATACCCCTTGGGGGCCCTACATATTTCTGGTTCTGTCTGCTGCTGCTGCCACCCCAGGGGGCAGTTTTCTTTGTAAGTTTTAATACAAATTTTGCTGCTGCTGCTGCTGCTGCTGCTGCTGCTGCTGCTGCTGCAGGGCCAACGGAGGCCGCATAGAGCCTGCAGCCTAGCCTTTGCTATGCTATCGTTTGCTGCTGCTGCTGCTGCTGCTGCTGCTGCTAGTTTTGTTTCTGTACATTCAGCAGCAGCAGCAGGTCCCCCAGCAACAATAGCAGCAGCAATAGCAGCAGAAGCAGCAGGATCTTCTATAGAACAAACCATACCCTGCTGCTGCTGCTGCTGCTGCTGCTCCTGCTGCTGCTGCTGTTGCTGCTGCTGCTGCTGCTGCTGCTGCTGCAGCCGCCAGCCTACTGGACAAGGCTGAGAGTAATCAACGCCGTCTATACACTGCTGCTGCATGCAGGGGTACTGCGTTTTGCATGCAGCAGCCCAAGCAGCTCTAGCAGCAGCAGAAAGCTGCTGCAGCTCCGGCTGCTGCCTGCTGCAGGGGCCCTCGTATGCTGCTGTTGCTGTGCATGCAGTTGCTGCTGCTACGAAACCCAATGGACACGGCTCAGAGTAATCCCGTAAACACTCTCCTGCTGCTGCTGCTGCTCCTGCTGCTGCTCCTGCTGCTGCTGCTGCTGCTGAGGGCTGAAAAAGGCAAAGGCCAGATATTAGAAGAGGAATAGCAACAGGAGAATTACAACAATAACAGCAGCAGCAGCTGCAGCAGCAGCAGCAGCAGCAGCAGCAGCAGCAGTAGCAGCAGCAGCAGCAGCAGCAG